GAATATTTTTTTACCTAACTGCCTCCCTCTCCTGACACCTTCAATTTATTTACCGCGCGGAATATAAAGAAATGGTCGCGACCTAATTACCAAGGCAGGGTAAATTGCGATTTAATTACTGAGATAATTATTGATCTGATAAAATCTTCCGATAAGAACCTTGTGAAATGTATAAGTCGTCTCCGCAAAGAAATAAAATATATAAATATTCCTATAACATTTCCCTTAGCTTTCCAGTGTACGAGAACAAGTTTAGATATTAAATATTCATTTTCATGACGAATAAACACGGACAAACTTGTCCTTCCTTACGCAAGTCTATAGCCTCTTCTCAGCGCGGCAGATTGTCTGGCAATCTGAGTGGACTATGAAAATGGAAACGAGATGTACAATTAGATGATTAAATACAAGAAGGAGAGGTGTTTCCCCGCGAACTGTTTCATTTTCTATAATTATGGATAATACAGCTGCAAGACTTAGGCTCGTACTCCATCAGTCTTTTTCTCTTTTACCTTGCGAACGGATAGAGAGATGCCGTTCGCAACGATAGCAATAAAAAATTATACCGGCGAATCGTTTGTGTGAGATAACTGAACTGAAACATTTTCATTATTAATTTACTTATTTGTAATCTTACCATAATTATATTCTTTTATATCTTATTTATTTCCATCAGATATATATTGTATATACATATATAATATGTATATAGGTATACATGTATATACAGGGTGTCGGATTCGATATGGACGACCCCAAAGATTATAGTAGATTGGGTTAAACTGAGAAGAAAAGTTATATACCATTTTACAAAATCCGTAATTATTATCGCTTAATTAAGAAAAACGTCTGAGCCAATAAGTGCACGGAGGAGCGGAAGGCCGGACTCGGCAGACATGCAAAATGGTGTTTGTTGACATCTCTCAAGAATCGATAGCGAGAGGTGGAGTCACGCATCGATCGATGAGAGACGGGGGCGAGCGGGGAGCGATGAGCGGTGAGCGGGCGAACGGCGCGCAGCGACAGAACGCGCGACATATGACACCGCGCCGAAAAAGTTTTTCTGGTGGTAGGAGAATAATACAAACTATAACCATACCTAACCTATAACCTATAACCTATAACTATAATTTGTTATATTTTTTAAAGGTGCAGACGAAATTTATAAGAGTACATGGTTTGCATTTGACAGTTTAAAGTTCCTCTTGGACAAAAACACCCCCCGTCGAACTATTAACACTGTAAGTATTTCGAAAAATTGAAGGTTTATAGTTACTTTAAATTTAAATAATAAATTTTAGTTTATAATCTAAGTGTTCGTACTTGATAGTGATGATAATTCATAAACATTCATAATAGCCTCACGATAATCATAGGCGTTTCTACGCATATTTCTCTTGCCACTCAACTCTTCCCTCATTAACGAAATAATCTGTTAGTTT